AAACTATAAGAAATTCTCTTCCATCAAAACATTCTCCAAAACCAAATCCTCAACCTTCCTCATCTTCTCATGGAGACCCCAAAGCAACAAATGAATATCCCCATGAAGAGAAGACCTATCCCCAACAACAAAAACTCGAAACTCGTTCCGAACCTCAATCCAACTGCAACCGGGCTGTTTCTTCAAGCCTCCGCCTTTCATCCTCGACTTCACCCCTTCCGCCTCCTTCCAATCCCCACAGACTCTATAAACGTTCGACAAAAGCACGTATGAGTTCTCATTCTCCGGCTCCAACTCCAAAAGCCTCTCGGCCGCCAATCTCCCAATTTCACGTTCTCCATGAACGTTACACCCGAGGAGCAATGCCCCCCATGCGTAGGCCGAGTCTTTTAAAGAAGAAAGCCCGGTTATAAGATCATAAGCCTCCTTTAGCCTACCCGCACGACCGTATAAATCGACTACGCATGTGTAGTGATCGTCTCTCACTCTCGCCGACCCGTCCTCTAGTAGGGCGTTAAAGTAATTTAGACCTTCTTGCACTAAGCCCGCATGGGTACAAGCGTTGAGAAGTCCGACGTAAGTGACGTCGTTCGGTTCGAAACCCGTTTTACGCATTTCCTCGAAAACGGAAATAGCTTTGAACCCGTGCCCGTGTTGGGCGTAAGCGGCAATCATTGAGTTCCAAGAAACTAAATCTTGATGCCCTATAAGCCCGTCGTCAAATGCCCGTCGAGCCATTTCGAGATCACCGCATTTCGAGTACATGTTTATTAGTGCCGACACCACGAAGTTACTCTCTTGATGATAAATTGTTTTGCTAATCACTTGATGCACTTGAGCCCCTTCGTTGAGACCGGCTAGGTTACCACAAGCACACAAAACGCTCGCGAAAGTTACTTCGTTCGGCTTTATTACCATTCTATCCCTTGTCATTGAATAGAATATTCTCAAAGCTTCCTCATTTTTACCATTCTGCACGAACCCGCTTATGATTGTGGTCCAAGAAACCACGTTTTTATAAGGAATCTCGTGAAATAACCGAAGCGCACTCTCGAGCTCGCCGTTTTGAATGAAACCGGCGATCATCGTGTTCCATGATTTCACATCCTTCTCGGGCATCGTGTCGAACAAATTATACGCCTCGACCAACCTCGTATTTTGAATGTACCCGTTAATCATCGCATTCCAAGAGACGATATTTCGGTCGGGAATCCGGTCGAAAAGCGACCTAGCTTCGTCCACCTTCCCATCTCCCGCCAATCCCGACACCATTATAGTCCAAGAAACCACGTTCCTTTCCGGCATTTGGCGAAAAAGCTCGTAAGCGTCCTCGATCTTTCCAAATTTCACCAACCCCGAAATAATCGTGTTCCAAGATACAATATTTCTCTCCCCCATTCTCCCAAATAAATCTATTGCATATTCAAGACTCCCACACCGTACATACCCGTCGATCATTGTGTTCCAAGCCACCACGTTTCTTTCGGGCATTTCATCGAACAGCTTTCGGACCTCAGATACTTTACCTGCTTTCGCATAACCCGACATCATGGCTGTCCAAGTTACGACATTTTTCACGGCATCAGCCCTGTCAAAAAACGCTCGAGCTTCCTCAAGCATGCCGCATTTAACGTGGCCCGATATTAACGCGGTCCACGATATCACGTCCCGTTCAGGCATTTGCTCGAACATCTCGCGTGCTTCTTGAATCTTGCCCTCCTTGCAGAGCCTGGTGATCGTGTGATTTGCCTTCGCCACGTCTTGCTTGTGCGTGTAATCTTCTCGGGGAATGAAAGATTCTGGATTTTTTCGGGCTCGGGCCGTTGAGTGGTATAATTTCGAGGTTTGATCATGGGGGAGGAGCTTGATATGGGTTGTATGCAAAATGTGCGTGCGAATAATGCTTAAATACCTCGGCTTTATGAAATTCAGACAGTGTCTATGTGTTCTTGATGACCGAATACGAGTTAGCATACCTGGGTTTCAGTTAAAATTTCATCTGTGTAATATAGGCCAAGTTATGGAAAAACTTTCTTGGTTCTTAAAATTGCAAAATTGTGCAATTGTGGGAATGGGCATTTATAATAGTGTCCTTTCTTAATTAACACACCTCGAGCATCGAGCCAAAGACGGCAAACAAACCCGAGCATTAACGAACTGAATTATGCTACAGTTCAGATAATCGCGTTAAAAAAACTCATATTTTTTCAAGCGTCTAAACAAGCTCCGCTCAAATCATTTATTAGAAGACTAATTTCATTTTGAGGCAAATGGTATGATGTAGCCATGATCATTTTTCTAAGCCATTTTTTAAGCTCGGGCTCAAATCCTTTATCACGTGTCAGTTTTCTGGTCACCTTATTTTGCTCTTTTATTTCTTCCTTTTGAGTAACAATTGTCTATTCAACTTACCATTGTTATGCAGTGTTGTGCATTTCCATTCACTACAGAGTCTTTTATTTTATTTGCTCTTTTTATTTTATTAGCAGTTCTTATTGTAAAATGAATATACACACAATTTCGCCTAAAAGAGTGAAATTTACACTTAAGGATATCATGTGGTTGTATAACTGTTGTTATACGAAATCTATATATATAAAGAGGTTGTTGGAAAAATACAGTAATAGAAAGTTTGACCAAATAAATATAATGGTTGACTTATTATTAATGGAAAATTCAAAGAAATACATGTGAATCTTTAGTAACAAAATCTGAATCCTATTTTTTTTTTTTAACTAATTTGGAGATTCTTATGGCAAAATTTGAATTCCATTTTTTTCGTATCATATTTTATTTTTTTTACCAAAATTTAAATCATATATTTTATGGTAATAAATTTGGAGATTTTTATACAAAAAATGTGTCAATTATTTATGAAAACAATTCTAAATACAAATTAACTAAAAAACCGTACAAATTGGATACAAATTTTGTAAACAAATAGTTGTATAATTCTTAACCAATTCTTCCAATCTTATTGAATAATTTTTTCTTAAAAAAAAAGTGTGTAAATTGGATAAAACCACGTGCAATTTTTATTTTAGAATAAGATGATATTTGGACGGGATGTACATTCAAAATTGTGTCCATATTTTTTGGTAACAAAAGCTGTTCATCTTGATATATAAAAATTAAAAAAATCTTAAAATATTCTTAAATATTTAACTTATTTGAGATCAAGATTTGTTATGTCTTTTTAAGATTAGTTATGATTTAAAAGAAAAAAAACATTATACAAAATTTCACTCTAAATCTCACATTCACACTTAAGATTTCATAGTATTCCTCTAAAATTTGATCATCTTACAAGTCTCAAATCTTAAAAAATCTCAAAGTGGCACTCAAAATTCTAAACGAATACATATTATATACCTATATCGTTAATTTATAATTATTATTTGATATTATTTACCCGTGCATCGCACGGGCCACATACTATTATATAACAATGGATTAGTGAAATTCCCAAATTAAAAATATGTTAAATATTAGATAAGGTCGGATGAGATGTATTTTTATATAGTAACAGCTCGGGTTCTTTAGTACAAAGTTATTGCTTTAGAGAGAGTGATCGAATATTCCGTTTTTACAATAAATGAGAACTATATTAAAATTAAACATATATAATTATTTCTTAGGAAAACAAAAACCTTTGTGAAAAAAGTGATAGAAATACTTGTAGATGTTAACTAAGAATGAGCATCAATTAGGGCCATAAAACCAAGTGAAAGATAAATGTTTGATAGTTGGACTTGTATATCCTAATAATGAAGTGCTAGAATTATTGTTGTTAGTTAAAAATTACAAGCTAGTTGTTAGCTAACCATGTAAAACNTCTATAATCTTACTCATTGTACTCTACTTTACGATACCTCCACCAATTGCTGCCAAAAAAAAAACCCAATAAATAGTGAGAAAAATTAAGAACATGAGCAAAATTAATGTACCATATTTTTGTGAACTCAATTTTACAGTTGTCTCCAATTGAAAAACAATAATTTCAAGTGGGTTCTTACATATAATGTTCAGCCTAAAGACTAACAAAAGGTGCATTGGCCTCAGGTCACACAGGTAGGATGAATATTATATATTACTTCCCTAATAAATAAAATACATAGCTTATTAAATTTTAGCTTCAGGTGGAGCTACACGAGCTATTTTCTAGTGGTTAAGAAATTGAACTTTTTTTTATAAAAAAAAAATATTTAAACTTCATTACCAAAAAATATTTTCATATTCTTATTCTATTTAACATGCATTTATCTTTATATGATATCATATAGCAACTCGACTAGCCGGAGGTCGAGCAGATTGTACGTTACTTAGACGATGACATCATACAAGAACTCGACGAAATCGAAGGTCGCCTAGCAGATGATTGGCACTCGAACAACTTCATTCTTGCAGAACATAAATCTAATATAATTAGTATTTTTCACGATGCATAATATGTTCTTTTTTAGCATCGTTTGATTTTAGCGTCGAAACTTTTATGTGGGGAACACAGTCTGGCACTTTACAGGTATCAATAGTCGAGTTCAAGACAAAGATAAAGGCAAAAACTCGACTAACTTGATGTGGATACCATATCACATAAATTAACTTGCACATTTATTCATATCAGTTGAATCATCAAATATACATGACACTACATTATCAACCAAAAAGAAGACCCATTATCAACCAAAAAGAAGACCCAGTTGGCTTTGTGATCCATTTTACTCCGTAGACTCCTACAGACTAGCATATGAATGTGCAATCATGCCAATGAGTGGTGACTCTGTATGGGAGCAGACTTCCTATGTTCCTCCCTTACCCCACCTTCCTAGTAAGAAAAAAGGCAGAGGCAGACCCATTTCTTTAAGAAGAAGAGAACCTGATGAACCGAGGGGTAAAAGAAAGAGGTCAACTTGTCCATTCAAGCTTAAGAAACAACAAACAACTGTAAGGTGTTCTAAATGTCATGCAACAGGACACAATGCTCTCAGATGCAAGGTAAAATATATATTGTCCTTACATTATTTTTCTTACAAAATCATGTATTTGAAATGATTGCTCATTCTAAAAAACTTCTTATAAATATGTATATTGTCTAGGTTACTGCAGCACAACAACAAGAAGCAAATGCAAATGCAAATGCCAATATCCCTATGAGGAGGGAGAAGTTAAAGGTAAAATTACATTGTTTCTTACAAAAAAATATTTATTTCAATTAATTGCTCCTTGTATCAAACAAGTTATGAATATGTGTGTTGGCTAGGTTACTAAGAAAAACACAGATGAAGTTGGAAAATCTTGTCATGCACCACAACAACAACAAGAGGTTCATGCAACTGCCAATATTTTACCACCCAGAGAAAATGATTTGACGAATAGTGTCATCTCAGATGAGGAGTTGATGGCAGCAATTGATAACTATACTGAGATGGACTTCTATGAACATGAGCAGCCTCAACCACAAGTATATTTCTTACACATGTATTTTGTTTGCTCTTTTACAATATTTTTATAACTATTCATATTTTTCAGGTTAACAATCAAAGCAAAAGAGGTGTGGAGAATTCACATATTTTACCACCCACCCAAGAGGATCTGATGGATAGTGTGATTTCAGATCAGGAATTGATGGCAGCAGTTGAAAGCCAGGTTGACAGCAACATATATCAGTATGTGCAACCTCACAAGCTAGTTCCTTCTCCATCTGAGCAGCTGAGAATGTCTACAAACGAGCCACCTGTGATTAATCCTCTGCACACTAAGCTCAATATCAGAGCACCCCCACCAATCACAGGAGGATATAGCAGACCATTATTCAGTACCAAGCCCAACAGCTCGAAGTCAATTGTGGTGGAAGGTGGGAAAAAGTTCATGAACCTTTCTCAGGAAAGCCAAACAGGAGTGCAAATGAAGAAAGGAAAGTGGAGAAAGAAGTGAATACAATGAAAATTTGTGTGTTAGGTTAAGTGATATAATGATCTTTTATTATGAAACTTGCTTTGGACATGTTTTGGATCAGAAACAATTGAATGGTTGATGTATATTTGTTTTGGTTCTCATGTGGACAAACAACTTTTGGTGTAGATGTTCTTGGGATTGTGTTTGATTACAATGGCAAGAACTATGTAATGAATTTGGTATTGGTGATATTGTGTTTGTGTTTGTGTCCTTTATGAAGTTCTCATAATGTTTTGTATTTGGTCTCATAATGCAGTTCTTCTCCTAATGAAACACAGGTTATATGCTTTTGTTTTGGTTTTAAGCATAACAAATTAACAGTAAAAATAAACCTTTAACATTCTCTCATAACATACCAAAATAAACCAAAAGACAGCTTTTGTCATTCCAAATACGACATCTTACATCTTACCAAAAGGTCTTAACATAACATAAATAGGATCCTAACATCTTAACCATCCTCACAAAATACAAAACACAAGAAAAAAGTCTTCACCATCCTACCAATCAAAATGCAAACACCAACATCTTCACTATAGCAAAAGGACACTGAAGCATCCTACCATTCAAAAGGACAGTCACTGCAGCATCTTCATTTGGTTCATTCCACTTGGGTTCTCCTTAGCAACTTTGGACTTGGACAATATGGTAAACACCAGTAAAAGAACCAAAATGCAGACAATCTTCTTCAACTTTTTAACCAACTTCACCAAATGTTCATTTTTTTATTTCAGCTTCTCAATCTCAGCTTCTCTTTCATTCATCTTCTTCAACTTTTTATCCAACTTGACCAAATGTTCATTTTTTAATTTCAGATTCTCAATCTCAGCTTCTCTTTCATTCATCTTCCTCAAAAGGCCAGGAATTATCATTTTAGACCTACGGCACATTGGAGGATCGTACCAGTCAAAGAAATCACATCCTCCATTCTGTGATAGTATAATTTATAAATCAAGAAAAAATGTTTAATTCTTCACATATGAATAAAAGACTTCATTAAATTTTTCCTTGAATTTAACACCTTACCCGCAATTCAAGCATACTTGGAATCGCCGCCCAGGGTTGGCGTTCTTCCACGTTGTGCGAATCACCGTCCTCCGACCACAACGGCATATCCCATCTCCGGTGACAAAAGACATTCCAACTAGGGCTGAGATTTGACAATTTTGGGAAATTGGGGGAAGAAATATGAGTATGCTTGTTCCTGCGTTCACCTTCTCCTCAAGTGTGCTTTCGATCAGAACAAATTACGCGGCGAATTTGGGGCGATTTTGTAGTGAGTTGGGCCGATTTGGGGATTAGGGTTCTAATTTTGGGAAATTGAGATTCAAATGTTCGATCCTTCTGATTTTGCCCGTTTTATTTGGCAGGCGTGTGGGTGTCTCAGCCACTTCAGACGTATGAGGCCAGCGTGGAAAAGAAAAAACGCCACGTATGTGCCACGTGGATTTCCGGGCCAGAAAAGGGCAGAAAGTCCTACTTTTGATCGTTTCTTAAAAGTTGTGGGACCATTTGTATTTTAGGCATTCCGTTGGGACCAATAATGTCACCCCCACATACCTGTGGGACTAAAATTGAAATTTTCCCATAAAATTAAAGTAAAGAACTTACATATGTAATTAATATGTAATGTTGCTATCTAGTAGGCTTAGACAACAATATTACTCAAATGTTATATATATTTCAAAAAATAATATAAATAATTAAAACTATGATATTTCACATGTATAGTTTGCGTATACAATTTTGTTCAGAAAATATGTCTGTCGAACATAATTTGTGGTACTTTATATAGAGGTTAATTTGTCAAAATTCAATTA